CATGGGGAGTCAGCAGAAATCGCGTCGAGATGGAAAAGGCTTCTAAAGCGGGCCACCTGTCATATGTGTCGACCCCAAACCGCAAAGAAGACCCCCCAGACCCTTGGGGGGGGGGGAAGGTCGAATGAGGATCATGGTTTGGTTGAAGCCGCATATTTAGACGCCAACCCGCACAAGGGTCGAATAAGGATGATGGTTTAGTTGTTATGTGTTAAACCACCTCCCAAGGCGCTGTTTAAACTTTCAAAGATGGCCACCTCAAAAAAGCGCCGTGGCTTGGAGTTTGCGCCAGGCATCGATCACCCTCCACCGCCCCCCTTCGCAACTGAGAAGGCAGCGAGAGGCGCGGATGGCGCCGATGTCGGCGGTTCCTAGCCCAGGAAGGCGTCTATGACCTAGAACCAGTGTTACTTGCTCGTGCTTACTAGGGAATGACGTAGGGTGTTGGGAATGAACCTAGGGATTCCCTTTAAGGAAACCGCAAGGGATGGTTTATGGGGGTCATTCTCTCATGCTCTACTGAGAACCAGAAAGGTTATGACATACTATGACCTGTACTAAGTAGGTGGAAAGAGCTTGGAGAATGTGTCCGAGCCAGAGTTTGGCTTCTAGCAACGGATCGGCGAACCAATAGAACGAATCCCTGATTGGCAATGGGCCGGGGGGTCCCATTTTTTTGGGAGGATCCCTTTACTCGGGCATGTTGGTGGACACTTCGTTTTGGAGGAAAGAAATGAGCGCCAACAGCGGCTTGGCTTAGGATTCCGCCGTTCCACCAAAAAAAACATCAGAATCTGTGAGGAAGTGTCTGAATCTTCACTCTCGAATCAGAGTTCGGAATCAACCTATGAAGTGATGACCACGTTCTAGCCATTTCTGCAGTATTTGCAAAACAACCTGGGTTTCTGTTTTTCCCCTTTTTTCTCTAAACAAAAACAGAATACACCACTTGTGGTTGTTTTTGAAGAAAACAACCACCTTTTCTCACGGGGATCTCTCTATTTTCCTCGAGCTCCACAAAGGAACCCCCCGTCCGTCCTCGTCCGAAGCGCGAGGCGTGCCGGATCAGCCGCCAGCCCCTGGCACGGTGAAGTGGGCACAGGCACCCAGAGGAGTTTTTCGCCCCGCGGGTATTCTCCGAGCCCAGAAACGTCCATGGCCCACGTGAATATTTTTGTGTATATGTTTTTTTCCTGTTGGATGAATATTTTTGTATGTCTACTTTCCAGTGTTGGTTGAGGGAGTGACGTGAATACTTGTGTATGTTTATTTTCCACTGTTGAGGGAGTCTATCAGACTATTGTTTTTTTGAGTCACCAACCTGTTGGTTTTAACAGGAATCGATCACTACTGGATGTTTTTGCAGTTTTCCCTGGGGACGCAAGCAAATGGAGGGAAAGGTGTTGAATGATATGGAAGATTTCGATATATGTTCCCAGCATACTTCCTATATTTCGCGAGATTCCCAATGTTTCTCCTATTTGCAATGTTCCCTCTAGATTTGTCTTATGTTCTCTGTATTTCGCTCAAAGTGACTATATATAGTTCTCTAAGGTTCTTTATGTATTTGCCAGATTTTGCGAAGTTCCCCTTATTTATCTTATGTTCCCAAATGTTGCTTTGTTTCCTTTGCTCACATTTTGGAATTGTGGGCAAATTTCAAGCGAGTTGTGTTTTGGTGGGGTGATGTTGGCAGTATGGGGAGCTGTGTAGACAATTCCTAGAGCATTTGGTGGGTTGGGGTTATCTCCTTGAAAAAGAGCAAGCAACAGATCTTTGTAAGTTGTAAGGTTTGTTTCTTGGGACGTCTCCGTCAACATGTGTGTTTTTGGCATAAGTTTTAGGGGCCTTGGGTGGGTTCAGATATCCGATGCGTTAAACGCGCCCTTTGTGCTTCAGATTTTGCTACCCAAAAGGAACGCAGAAATATACATTTGTCTCAAATTGGGGACCTGATGGGTTGTTTGTCTTTGGCAGCCGACCTACAGCACACCCCGCTTCGCTTGCAACTGCACCCCAAAGAGCAGGACCGGAGCCCAGCGCTTTGGCCTCCAAATCCGGCTCTCACTTCCCTTTTGAACACCTACCGCCAGCTATCTGGGGAGCAGACACCCAAATGGATGCGGCTCCAAATTAAGAGCCCGACCGCAGTTTTGGTTGCTTGCTTCAAGCCGGAGGTTGGGGAGTGTATGGCTGAGCCAATCAACTGAGCACAGAGGTCTGAGGGCCCTGGCCAGCCCCGCGGAACTTCTATATGACCATGTGCGTGATGGCTTGTAAACCTTCCCGCGGAAAACTAGGATAGACATGGACCTATGGGGATTTCCAGACAAGCAGCACAAACCCCGTAAACACCCTGGCCCACATGAGTTGCAACGACGCATGTATCAATCCACGGGGGGGCCAACATGCTTCCAACCTCATGGAAGGGCTGCCATAGTTCTGAGACTTGACTCATGTTTGTTACCCAGGAGGACTCGATTTGAGCAAGGGAGTACGGACAACAGGGTTTCTTCCCAATTCTGCCTCCAAACCGCGATTGGTCCTTTTCCTTTAAGGCCGAAAGTTGAAAATTTGTTTCTACGGGTCTTTGAAGCGAGCAACGACAACCCTTGAGCACCTCGCCAATGGCCAATGGATGGCCACTGGCCACTCAGGTGCCACACACCCACGCGAATCCCAAGCATGCTCGCTTCTGCTTCATTTGCCGGGATCCTCGGCAGGGTTGCTTGCAGGTGTCTAGTAACAACCAGACCGAAGCGATTCGGCCCTACTGCAGCACACCAATTGAAGTTTACTGAAACAGCGGTTTAAAGATGCTTCCATTTGCTTAAGAACATGTTATTTGTTTAATGGTCATGAAAACATATTATTTTCCCGTGTTGTATTTAAGGGGGATCTATCACCACAGTTTTCCTTTTCTTTTTTTTTAAGGACATACTTGCGCTCCTGGGGGACTTCAGCAAACTGAGGGCTGTAAGAAGGTGGCTTGGAGCATTTGCCTTGAACTGTCACCGACCTCGGTGGGTTTCTAGCGCGGCTATCGCAAGGAGCTTCTTCTTTGCGGCTTGACGACCCGTTTCGCACCAGTTGGGCAAATCCCCGGACCTCCTTTGGTGCCGGTGTTGTGTGTTTTTGGAGGGGTTTCCATTAAATCCAACTTTTTGCAATGGCCACGGGGGTCTGGGAGTTGGAGGAAGTGCCAAGGATCAACAGCAGCCTTTGATTGATGCACCTCTGCCGGAATACTTGCGGAATCTGATTCGTTTTGCTGGGCAGTTGTTCCTCTCGGCCTCCCTATGTTCATAGCAACCAAGGGGTTTTTATTGCTCGCTTAGCGTGCAGCATTGATCTCACCATTGTCCGCTCAGACTTGTTGGGTTATGCTGTGTCTGCGAGGGGTCCATGTCCACTGCTGTTTTGCCAGGGCGGGAGGCATTGCAGATCTGAGGCAGAAGAACCACACGGCATGAAAACAATTGGGGGCTAGGCGTTGCTTGTCAAGTTATCTTCCTTTGTCGTATGGGCAAGTTGGTGGCTCTCTGAGATTTGAATCCACTCAAAAGTTTTTATGGAATTCCACCGCTATGCCATCACTCCGTCAACGTCCGATCAGGAGATCTCTGCTCGACAAAGAAGAATGAATTGTCATCTCACCGGCTGTGCGATCGCTTTGTCGAAGGCACACTTCACGAATCAACTATGCAAGCATAATCAACAAACACACACGCGCCATTTCAGGATCTATATAATCTGTTGCGGACAATGTGAGATTTGGTCAAACTCACTGGTCAATTTTGAGAACCCGCGAAATGTTCCATTCAGTGTCTGCTGTTTGGAGGGTACCCTTGTTGGGGGGTGGTTTTTTACCCCAAGGAAACCGAAAGCAGGTCAGTTTTTGGGCGTCCAAATCTCGATTGAGACCCCCCCCCGTTTTGTTGGGCCAGTGTTTCAAGTGGCTCATTGACCCATGCGGCTGCGCTAGCTGACTCTGCCCGGCTCGAGGCCTGCACGGCAAGCTGGAAGGGCAGACCCGGCACCAGTTGGAGTACGGAGGTTTCTCAAACCGTGGATAGGAGAAACTGCACTTGGGATGAAGGAAGCGCAACACAGTACTGTGATAAATCACCACTGGTCCATTCAGAGTAGGAGTTCCCAAACATGGTTGGTTTCCCTTTGGTTTCCCTTTGCATATCGATTGAAAGGGGGGCCAAATCGCATTTTGGGAAACTCCCAAATCACGGCCAGACTTAACTTCGCACACTGAAAGTGGACCGGCAACCAGCTCACAGCTTTTCCGTGTTGTCGGATCCGTCTGGCCGAGAAATGGGTAGATCTTGGGTGCTTGAGCTATTGTGTGCGACCCGAGGGCGTAGATCGGTCGCGCCAGGGAGAGGGATGGCATCGATGAGGAGGTGAAGAGGCGCCTGTCACTTTGTGAGGTCCGAGTCAGGGGTAACTGACTCAGGGAACGGGGCTTTGCAGGGACGGGATGGGGTAGGTGGTGACTTCATCACTGTACTGATGCCCGGACAGCTGATGAGCACGAGTAGAAGTGGGGACAGCGGAAGCCCCGCATCAGTGTTGGTTCTTGAAAGCTGGTCTCTGTAGCCCAGTCCTGCACCGGACAGCTCGCGAAGGTTGAGCCGAACTTTCTATGGCATTTTTTGGCCACCCGAAAAAGACAGCGGCTGAAACCCAGGCCTTCCTCGCTCGCAACATGAGTCATCCCTGGGTGAGGAACCCACATGTCTTGACCAGCAGTGCCTGGTTTCCTTGATTGTTAGGTGCTTGGGCCAGACTGGTTTGAATGTCTCATTATGGGCTGGAGAGGTGCCGAAAGCCCTTCCGACGTGTCAGGAAGCATAGTGGCTTCACCTCCCAACACAAACCTCCATCTCCATGTCCTAGGACCAAAAAGAGGTGCTCCTCCACCCCCCACCTTTCCGGCCCTCCAATGAGAAGATTTTGGCCACACGCCTCACATGGCGCCATTCGAGTGGTCGAAATCAAACGAGGGCTTTTGTGCCGCTACCAGAGGTTTCCATATGAAGCGCGCCATGTTGAAAACCCGGCATTTGGTACCATCATCCCCAGATGAGCAAATCCAGTTCACGTTGCGGGATGGCACTCAAGGACTTTACTTTGGACCACTATTTTCGGTGCTTGAAGAAAAAGAATCGATTCCCTGAAAGATGGAATCGACTGGAATTTCCTAACCCTTCTCCTTGAGGGCAATGCGGCCAGAAGGACCAATGTCGCTCGCATCCTTCTTGTGGGTGGCTGCTCCACAATAGAGCAGTCAACCCCTTTCGAAGTCTTTTGAACCGCGAGGCAGAAGGCGGAAGACCAAGATTTGCCATCGGCTATGGAGATGAAGGCGATCCGAGTGGAGTGGGTGCGGTGGAACCATTTTTTGAGTCCATTCTCTTTTTTTTGGTGACCCCCCCAAAATGGTGCTTTTCCTCTTGGTGTTTCTTGACAACCACAACCAAAGAACCTTAAAAACAGACACCATTGTTCAACCCGGACACCAAGAAGGGCAGTCATTCCTCTTTTTGGAGGTTTCCCGTTAAAATCAGCTTCATGGCTGCGGAGTTGAATCAGAACCCCTCCGAATTGGTGGACTTAAATTCCCGTGTAAATGATGTCCACCAAAAGGGTCCCCACTTAAAATTCATATAAACCAAAGAAAGGGTCCACTTTTAGGCAGTGGGTTCTAAGGGAATCCGCTTCAAAGTGTCAAAGTAGTCATAGAGATGCTTGTTCCACTTTGGCATCACAAGAATGATCTTCCGCAGCCCATGTTGCCTGTTAGGAGCTGCTTTTCCTCTACTACCAAGCAGAAAAGAGGGTGTTTTTTCCGCAGCCATGCTGTTTTTTGGCCAGGGTCTGGGATGCGATCTGCTAGGAGATGGGCTATCTCCTGCCCAGCCCTGCGGGGGTCTCCAGCGAGGGAGGCTTCCGGCGTGCAGGCGGGGGCAATCAATTCTGCGGCCTTGTTCTTTTTCGCAGGTGACATCCCCCCGATTGTTGAGGGGCAAAGTATTTCCACGATGCTCTCTTGTGAAGATGACTCAATTCGGGTTTCAAGCCCCTCACAAGCCCAGTAATGGCCCTTGTATTTTGTGACCCTTTGTGAGTGGCCCCAGCATCGCCTTGTGGGGTTGTTTGTGATGTTGCAAGGGTCCGTAGGCCTTGGTTGTCCATGATTGGAGCACCCTCCCAAAAGGTCGGTGGACATAAATCCAAGGAGCATGATGTCTAAGGGTCCCCGGGTAAGAATACAACTATACAACCCTTTCCATGTTTTGGACGTACCACACATTGCCCTGGTATTTCTATTTGGGTGTGGCCAAAAGTAAACAGCTGGGGCTGCGCAGGTTTTAGTCTTGGTTCCCATGTACAAAGGCGCCATTTTGGGTACCATTTTATGAGCAGCCAATCAAGCAATGTCCCTCCATGGCGCAAAGCTTGGGTGGGATTTTGGGGAACCTCCCTCTCACTTTTACGCTTGGAGAGAGAGTGTATGAACACCAGCACCCTTCTGAACATGCGACCAGAAAACAACAGGTCACGGGTTTGTTGGCGTGGAAGCTTGCGCAGAAATTGAGCGGTTCCGCTCCTCCGTGAACTTGAGGTGCCATTCGAGTCTGCTCTTCCATATTATGATGTATGAGCTACAGTCAATGCAGATACAATTTGAACATCTTAGTCGAATCTTATTTTCGGTTCATACTCGCTTAGCCAGCTCTTGCTGGCTGGCAGATACGGGTGAACGACGGCATAGACTATGTCCGTCGCCTCTTTGTTTGGTTACAAGGGGACTCGTGTGTGGAGCTGTGGCCTCACGTTCTTCCCAGTTCAGGCTGGGAATCTGTCCGCCATTCCAGCGATGAGCACCCGCCGCAGGGGCAGACTACGAGCGAGATAACCTCTCAGCCATTTGGTTGCGGCAGGCCGGAGAGGAGGGATGGCTCCGTCAGTTTTTTTTTTTGGTATCAATTTGGTTGAACATTTAGGTCTCTAATAGCACAGGGATTTCTACTGGATTCAGTTTGGTTCTTGCCATGTACCAGTTGAATCCGTCGATTTGTCCCTACAGGACACGGGAGAAGCAGGTTTGCTGTCGTCTTGAGGTGCTGACCAGTGATGCCACATTGAAGCATGCGAATCGTTTTATTGCTTGACATGTTCGATTTGATTGAGTTGTAACCTAGTCACGGACGGAGCCCCTGTATGGGTATGTCTTTTTTCAGGCTACCCTTCCAAAAAGATGGTACCCTCCCGCCAACTAGCATGGAACCTGACGTTTGTGGGGTCCTGAGTTGGACCATTTTCCTTTTAAAGGGACCCCCGAACGTCAGGTTCCATGTTCATTGGTGGGAGGGTATCCTTTTTTAGGAATTTCTTACAACAAAAACAGCCAACAAACCAAACAGTACCCCGAGAGGTTTCCCTTTACCCCCCCCTCCCCTCAGAAACCCAGCGATGGCTTTAAGGGCCAGCTCTGGGGTTCGGAGACTCAGAGTTACTTCAAGAGGCTTCTCTTCTATACCCAAAATGGGTTGCCTAGGCAAATGGAAGCATGGACCAAAATATGCGGTTTTCCGGTTGGGTAATTTGGACGCAGGAAACGCAGGCAGAATAATTTGGAGGTATCGCGTTTCGTGGAGACGTACATCTGTCAGCTACGGCCCCAAGGCAGACTCAGATCCTTGTTTCTCGGGGGTTAACTCATTCCAGTTACACCCCGCGTCAAGTCCAGAGGCTCGCTCAGGAAATGGGCGTGGGTCTTGGGGGGGGGCACCCTTTTGGAGGGTGGTTGCAAGGGAGACCAGATTTCCAACCATTTTGGGGTCCCCCCTATTTACTCAGACACACCCAAATGGCTGTGGGTCAAAGCCAATGAATGGTACCATTTTAGGGTAGGTGAATTCACCACCCATTTTAGAACCTATTTTAGTGTTTGGATTGGGATGTTCACTGGGGGTACGATTTGGATTTTGACCCATGGCCAACTGTTTTTGTTGTTGTTTTTGTTTTTGTTCTTTGTGTTTGTGTGTGTGTGTGTGTCTGGGAACCCACTAGGAGACATCGACCTTATTTCGAGGGGCACCAGGAAACCAACCATTTGGACACACCCAAATGGCACTCCCCGTTTGAAAGTTAGGGCCCGCAGGTCTCACAGAAGATCTACGACGACTCCATCAAGGCCGGAAACAGGGCAAGCGAATCTGGGAACGTCCAGATCCGCTTTCCATTGCCCAAAGCGAGTCAAATCGAGTCGACTTCTTGTGGCCTTTTGGTTTTCCCTTGTGTTGTGGCCTTTTGCTTTGTTTTGTTTGGCCCCTGTTTCGTCTCTTTGGTCGATTCGTCCATACTTTAGGTTTCCTCATTTGGTTCATGCTTCGTCTTCTAGTCTTTGTGGTTGAGTGTTTTTGGCCAATTTTCGAGTCAAGGTGCCCCCGAGAAGGATCGCCTGTTTTGTCTAGATCCACGGGTGGAGCCACAGACAGGGTGGTTCAAATGAATGAAATGCAGAATGTCCCAAGGTTTCTCCATACCCATTGTGGGGTAGGTTTAAAGCGAACCCTGAAGAAAGAGCCGTAAGTTTGCTGCCATTTTCCTAGGGCCCAAGTTATTATGAGGTGAACTGTATCGTTTTGTTTTCGAGGCTCGGTTTCCGTTTTTCAGGCCGGCTTGGCAAGGCTATTCTGACACATACCTATAGTGGCTTCATACTTCGACCGCTCGCATGAAAGTTGCTTCAGGGGCCGAGCCGGGTGTTGTTTTCACACCATCTCACCTCTCTAACCGGTGGGCACAACTTCTCAAAACCAGCAGACCCCAGCCCTGTTCATTGGAGCCCCAAAGGAGGTTGCAAATAGTGTCTTACCAGTTGTGTGAGCTCACTTCATTCTGTTTGCCGGGTTCTTCTTCAGCTTACTAAAGCCAATCACAGACTAACAACAGACACCTTTTCTGGCGCGAGAGCACCATCTGGGGATATCGGTCTCCAGCCGGGGGAAGTCGGGGCAAAATGGGCCTTGCTTTCTTCGAAAGTTGTTTGCCTTGAGAACGACCCCCCAGAAAGTGTGCAAAGAGCATCTCCCACCTTCAGACTGGGAATTCATATGTACTCTCCAAAGGGTGACGCCACCCCGCACGGCGAGTGAAACTTGAGGAAAGATGTGGAGATGCATTTTGTTGGATTCTGCCTGTTCTCCCCCCCTGTTTGTCCGCTTTGTGTTCTTCCGCTTCAACTTTTAAAATGTCCCGCAGGGGTGTATCCACAAAAGTCGCATCCCAAAACTGTTCTCTAGTGAAACCAACCCCTTTAAGCCCAAAGCAAACCACACCCCAACCACACCCCACCCCACCCCACCCCACCCCACCCCACCCCACCCCACCCCACCCCACCCCACCCCACCCCACCCCACCCCACCCCACTCCCCACTTCGACCGCAGGCCATGGTCACGGAGCAGAACACTGCGCTGTCCCTGGGGGTGGACGTAAAGCTGGTGGCGCACCAGGAGGACGAGCAGGACCGCCAGGCCGCCAGCAGATTCTCGCGCGAAAACCCCGCGGCTCTTTTTGCTCTTTCTTTTTTGGGGAAGGGTAGGGCAGGGCTCCCGAATGGGTAGGTGTTTTTTTGGTTTCCTTTATTTTTTGGAGGGCAAGGGCAGGGCTCAAAAGAAATGTGGGGATGGGTCAAAATGAAACCAGACGTTGGGCCGCAGGTTTTTTTGTCCGCTGGAGTCCATTTGCCAGGGTAATGCATGGTGGGGTTACAATTTGACCCACAGCCAAAGAGGATCGCCTTGAAATGTGAGGTTTCCACCTATGTTTGCTTTAAAACGCCCAAAAGGGTACGCTCCAAAAGGACAACCCCCTGGGAAAAATGGTCGCGGTGATTAGAACGAAGAGATCTCGGGCCCGCGGGATGCTCCCGGGGGCTTCTGGAACAGCCCACGTCAGGTAGATAAAGGTTAGGGGAGAGGGCCAACCAGAAATCCGTGCCGCACGCCCTTTTGATTCTGTATGGTTTGTGTGGACCCCTAAAAAGTATCTGGTTTTGAAATTTAGGTGAAGGCAGTTAGAAAGGTAGAAGGTCACCCAGTAAGAGTAATACCCGGTTGGATGGTGACAGTTTTCTGACCCACTGGCAAAAGATGCGCGCGTTGTTTGTGGTTCTTGTCCAAGCAAGCTGATCACCAGAGCATGTGCGGGCATCGCCATGTTAGGAAATGTGGCTTGCAAATATATGTTTAATCTGACACAAGCGGAAACTTGATCCACTGCGTGTCAAAGGAACTAGACTTGCTTGGGACAAGCTTTAATGAATATTCATGGCGAACACCCTCGCAAGAGGTTGGTGAACATAGACCCCAACTCAAATGATGTCCACCAAACAAATCACCCGAGCGAGTTATGTTGATCTATTTCCCCGCCCAATCCGGGATCTCCGGGATCTCCGGGCAGCCGTTTTCGAGAGCCAACAGAGGACCCAGACCACAAAGACCTCGCGCACAGTCCCAACCAAGCTTTATGTGGTGCGAACACTGAAGAACAGGCCTTATCTAGCAGTTAGTTCGGGAGGGGGGATCTGGAAAGATGGATTCCTGGAAAGACTGGGGAAGAGACGCGTGTTCAGCAGGGGAATGAGGGAATGACTATAAACCATCCGCTTGTGGTTTCCTGTATGGGCATCCCAACTGAGCACCAGCAAGGTACCCCTATTGGGTATGTGACAAACTAGTCCCTGGCCCACACCCCGTTTGTTCCCTGTTCCGATCCCCTCACGCCAGGCGCTGGTGAGGCTCTTCCGACTCTCGGAGGAGCAGCAGCTCAAAGTCCAAGAGGACCGGAGATTATATATATATATGTGTCTCTGTGTGTCTGTGTGTCTCTGTGTGTGTGTTGTGTGTCTGTCTCTGTGTGTGTGTGTGTGTCTTTGGGTGCCTGTGTGTGTGTCTGTGTGTGTGTGTGTCTGTGTGTGTCTGTGTGTGTGTGTGTTGTGTGTGTGTGTTCTGCGTGTCTGTGTGTGTGTGTCTGCGCGTGTGTCTGTGTGTGTGTCTGCGCGTGTGTCTGCGCGTGTGTCTGCGTTTGTGTCTGCGTGTGTGTGTGTGTGTGTGTGTGTGTGTGTGTGTGTGTGTGTGTGTGTGTGTGTGTGTGTGTGTGTGTGTGTGTGTGTGTGTGTGTGTGTGTGTGTGTGTGTGTGAGTGTGTGTGTGTGTGTGTGTGTGTGTGTGTGTGTGTGTGTGTGTGTGTGTGTGTGTGTGTGTGTGTGTGTGTGTGTGTGTGTGTGTGTGTGTGTGTGTGTGTGTGTGTGTGTGTGTGTGTGTGTGTGTGTGTGAAGCGTCCTGGAGCACGGACGGAAATTCCACATTGCAGGGGGACTGGAGCCGATTTGCCTATCCAGTCCAATGAAGCTACGGCATTTCGGTGGATACCGGATCTGATCAATCCGGCGTACCTGCCTATTTCCTGACCCTCTTTCCTGATTCTTTTTGCGGTTTCTGTTTGTCGCTGTTGCTTCCTGTTCGGTGTCGATGTTGTGACCTGTTGATTTGCATTTGCATTCAAGCATTTTTACTGACTGCGTTTTGCATCTCGGCTAGTGAAGCCTCTCGAGATAAGTGTGTTTACCCACGGCCTGTCCGACATGGCGCTGTGGGCTGGACTCGCCATATGCGGGAGCCCCCTGCGAGGGGAAGACCGTTCAAGTGTTCAAGTTCAAGCTGCAGTTCAGTTCAGCGCGTTTGACCACGATCAAGGCTGCAGCTTGAGGTCTTAAGGTATTCCGCACCCAAATGGTGCTCTGCTGGTTTCATGCGCCTGCACTGCCTGCACTGCCTGCCTTTGAAGCAAGGCTGCACCCACGAGGTTTCAGGCTCCTAAGCTTCATGCGCCAGTGACGAGTTGGTCATACACCAACTCTGCGATTCGTGGCGTTTATGGAAGCTTTCGTCTCGGATGAGTTCAGTTCAGATTCATCGGCATAGCCACATGAGGCACTTTCATGAGGCCACTTGACAGGCACCTCTGAGAACCCCTTTGTGCTCGCATGCATTTCTGTGGAAACTTTTGCCGTTGCCGCGGGGTTTTGGCGGTCCCCTGGTGGAATTCCCTCTGTTTGGTTTCGATTCGCAGGTTGAAGTTGGCTCGCATGCATTTGCACCATTGACGCATTTTTGCCGCAGTTGTGGTTTTGTTTTCACCCCTTTCCAACCTTCTCTCTCCCTTGCGAGATGGCTGGACACCAGCTCTATGACATGATGCATTCGCTCCTGCATAGCATTGCGACCGGCACCGCGTCCGGCTCACCAGGCAATTGTGGACCGAACTTGCAGCTGTCATCCCAGATGACGCAGCCCATGAACCTTGTACCGTCACCCAACTCGCAGACGGCATCCTTCACACCTTTCCCCATGATGCCCTACGGCGGCCTCTCGAACTTTGGCAACCCGATGGCCATGATGCCCTACGGTGGCCCTCCCAATTACGGCAACTTGGCACCTGGCACCATCATGCCTTTCATGACTCAGAGCAGCATGCCATCTTCACTGCCCGAGCCTCAGCCGGCGCGCGCGCCCGAAGCTGCCGCTGCGGCTCCTGCCGCTACCTCCTCAACCAACCACCCTCCCCCGGACACTCGGCACCATCCCCACTCTCGCAGATCCCGTTCCCGCCACAGACAGCACCGACACTCCCACTCCCACACCAGCCACCATCGCAGGCACAACAAGTCGCACCGACGACACGACACCCGACGATCCCGCAGCTACAGCAGGTCACGTTCCCCTTCCCGACACTTCCACCACTCCCGACGTGCACACCACTCCACTGTCTCCCTCCGCTCCCGCTCCCCCCGACACAGGTCCCACCATCGACACTCCCCTGCACCCAGAGCCACGACTTCGCACCGACCCACTCACACTACTCATGATTCCACCTCCTGGCGCACTTCCGGGAAGGATTCCAACAAGTCTCAATGGTCCTCCTCACACTGGCGGAACCAATCGTGGGGATACCCACCACAGAACAAAAACCGCTGGGACATGCACCACCATGGCGCCAGCCACACCGGCCACCGAAACAACCAGGGCAAACGACCGTCCTGGTCACTGCAGCACCATGGGCAGCAACCCCACCCCACTTCCCGCACCGGCCACCACAACACTAGCTTGCCCCCTCACCCAGCACCTGCGGCGGCCTTCACTTCCACTCCCCCTCCCCCTCCCCGACCCACGCCGGCTACTCCTCACCCTCCCCAACCCCCCTTCGACAACACCGGTGATTTGGACCCCCCTCCATCGGAGGCGGACATCAATGCCACCACCACTTCCGACAACCGGTGGCTTGATCTATGGAGAAACGTCATGGACACGGCCAAGACTGACCCGCTGCGAGTTCCCACGCCTAGGGAGTTGGGGGAGCTGGACCCGCTTCCAGCCTTGGACATCTCCAGGGTGGAACAGACTAAGGCCATTTTGATGGACCTGGACCCTGCTTTGCCACCTTCACATGCCGATCTCCTCGCGGAATGCTGGGAACTGCGAACCATGGACACGGATGATCCCATACCGTTCGATCCCAGCTTCTACCACCTCTTGGGACGGGAATCACACGGCATGGTGTTCGCAACCACTTGGTTTCCTCGACCTCATCCTTGGCCAGTTGCTGGCGGAGACCCGGAAGCTGGATCCGGCACGGCCTCCCATCACGCTGTCATGTATGTGCACGGCACCACCCCGGATCGAGTGCGCCGCATGTGCCATGAGAACATGATCCGACCCGCTGCTTGGAGGCCCGAGAACCATGACTACCCGAGCTTTGGATGCTACGCTCAGGCCACCCCCACGGCATGCACGCCCGACACGCTCGGCCAGCTCTTGCAGAACTTTACAATCGGAAAGTCTCAACTCGGCGCCATCGCTTTTGGGGAACTACGCTCCATCAATCAGCACAAAATCCTCGAATCCGGGGGAAGCCACGAGGATCAACACAACGTGCGGCGCCACTTCGCATGCCGCCGAGGCAAAAAGTGGTGCCTTCACTCCAAGTTTGCGATGCTGAGAGGCATCGCGCTGCAGCGCCCGGCTTAGCGGGGCGCAAGTGTACCATCTTCCACCCAACCAGGAAAAGAATTGGTGCACTGTTTGATCGCCTTTTTTCTTTGCTTTGCTGTTCTGCCTTTCCGCGACCGTTCTCTCACCTTGTGACCTTACCCGCTTGATTCCGCTCACCAGCTTGTGGTTCGAACATTTCCTTTTCCCCCGTGTTTTCTCATGGCTTTCCAACCCCCTCGAGGTTTGGTTACGGCGCTCCAAAGGCAAAACTTACCACCGCAGCCTTCGCCCACGGCATCCCATCATCATGGCATCGTGTACGGCAACAACATGGCCGGGAACCCGTGCGGGGCCCTGTCCGGGCCTTCCTACGGATGCTCTTCCACGGCATCGGCACCGCCAGCTACACATCCGACTCCCTGTCAGACCTACGGCCAACCTATTCCCCGTTACCCACCACACCCCGGCCCTCGTCCACCCTCCTTTGGCGGCTCTCTCCCCCCCCCTCCCGGCGGCAACCCCTTTCCCCCCCCTCCCCCCGTCCATCTCAGGCCTCCCTCCTGGACTTCGGCATAAAGCGACCACGGTTGACTACACCTGACACATCACCGCAGGACGGATCCCCCGCTCTACCCCTGCCCACTCGCATTGCAGACGACTCCCAACCCCCCCCGGCTCCCCCCACCCACGGCGGCAACCCTCCTGCCCCCTCCACCCACGGCGGCACCCCGACCCCTCCCCCCCTCCCCTCCCCACCCACTTGGAAGGAGCCCCGCGACTTGCTCCAACCACCTCCCCACGTTTGCCAATGGCTCACCAGCAACTTCCCACCCGACATTTCCGACACCAAAGTCCAGCGATGGATCACCTCTCAGAAAACCAGCAAAGAGAGCAAGCAAGTCCTAAAAAGCTGGTCCAACGACTG